TATACCAGAATTTTAACCTGTTAATTGAAACTGACATGACCTAAAAAATGTAGCACTTTAATTCAGGATAACTGTGTTTATCTCACAGAAAGGGTAGTAAGTTGCAGGTAGCTGGACGATGTTTTTATATAATGTTGGTCCAGGTAAACAAGTACAAAATTGCTGTTTCTATTATGCCATTGAAATGTTTTCTGCAAATATAACATGGTATGCGTTTTAGGTTAGAGCCATATTATCTCCGTAGTTAAACTTTTAATTCTTTAATTGTTCTAAATTTGTTTCATTTGTATTACTTGAGACCTATTTTCAGGTAAGAACTATAAAGTGATTGATGTTTAAAAACAAGGATTTTCTTAATATTATTTATCTCAGATATATATTCTGAATATAGTCATAGTTTATATATATGACAAATTTTTCTTCATGCAACTGCTCGAAATTTTGATATGTTCTTTTATTTCTGAACTTGGAAAAGGGATATAAAAAATCTCAAACTGCAATCACATTTTATTTTAACATGCATGTTTTTAGAAATAAAAATATTTCTCAGCGCTGTGTGATTTTCACTGTTGTGTGTGTTTAAAGTTCATAGCCAAATATAACATAATAAATCATGCAACACATTTTCTCTCTGTGCCTGAAAAATGAAAATCGTTATAGGTCAATTGCTGAGAGGTCTCGTCTCCATCTCATACATCTTGCTTGCAATTTGTTTTTCATTTATTCCAAGCATACACAGTTCACTTTACATTTGCTTATTATTTACATGGTTTTTAGTTGTTTGCTTTTACGTAAGAAGAAACTATTCTCCCTGACTGTGGCTTTCTAAATGCCCCGGTAATGTTTATAAACATGCATGTATTTTACTATGTAAGAACTGCTCTCCTGAATTTCCAGGGCCAGGAGGGTGAAATCACTGCTCACATACCACCTTGATTATTTGTTCTACTCATATTCAAAATCTATATTAACCAATAAATAGAAGAGATCAGAGATCGTAGTTAAGCTACCAGCAAATCTGCCTTGTGATTATTTTTTCAATTTAATTATGACTTTATTGTCCTGATAACAACTACTTCCCCTTTTTGCTGAGAGTATTGCTGAGAGTATTACAGATGTCCTCTCTTTTATCCCCCATTGACCCTCTCCCCTCCTCTCCAGCCTCCCCCTACCACAGGCCTTCACTGCACTATAGTCTGTGTCCATGTGTTATGCATATATGCATATAAATTCTTTGGTTTATTTCTTCCTGTGCCCTTCGCCCCCCCCTTCCCTCTGAGATTCATCCATGTCACTGGGTTTGTTTGTCAGTTTATTTTGTTCATTAGATTTCACATACAAGTGAGATCACATGATACTTGTCTTTCTGTGACTGTCTTAATTTGTTTAGATTTTAGGGTCACACATACCAATACACACCAGGAAAGGGCTCCTTTCAAATGCAAGGCAAGAGCCCAAGCCAGGAGTCATGGGGATCTGGAGGCCCATACTGGCTATTCCCCTTTGATGTGCTTAGTCACTTCTCTGACCTTCCTTTTCCCCAATGGATACAATGTGCTCACTAGCCCCACCTCCTGGGACTGTTATAAGGAACATGAAGGAAGGAAGGTACTTGGTAAATCACTGGTGGTGTAATATAAACTGGCTCTATGTGGTTTTTTTGTTCTTTAAAGCCTTGATTTGCTTTAATTTGTAGTGTGGAATAAAACCTCCCAGCATGGCTAGTGTCCAACTATAAATGATTTAACAGCCACCTGGTAAAATGCCTCAATATTTAACAGTCCCCTGCATCAGCCAAGTGCAGCCCACCACTGATAGCCCTCAGTAAGTGGCAGTAATTATTTCTTAATAGTTATCTTTTGTCTTCTATTGATCTAGAAAAATTTTTCCTGTTTAGTAAAATTCTATATAGATGGAGGATGTGAAGCTAAGGACAGAATAGTAATTTATAATGTTTAAAATATTAATGATTTCAAAGAACAAAAAGAGTTACCTGCAGAATTTTGAAAGTAGGTTGAAACAACATTTAAGAATAAGAAATGGAATATATGTACCCCTATGTTCATAGCAGCACTATTTACAATTGGTAAGATCTGGAAACAGCCCAAGTGTCTATCAATAGTTGAGTGGATAAAAAAACAACAACTGTGATACATATACACAATGGAGTACTATGCAGCTGTAGAAAAGAATGATTTCTTATCCTTTGAGATGGCATGTAGGGACCTGGAGAGTATTATGCTAAGTAAAATAAGCCAATCAGAGAAAGACAAATATCATATGATCTCACTTTTTTGTGCAATATAATGAGCAAAATTAGCAGATGAACAAAATAGATCCAGGAACATAGAAGAAGGGTTCAGACTGACAAACCTCAGAGGGGAGGGGGATAAACCAAATAACTTATATGCATATATGCATAAACAATGGTCACAGGCACCAATACTGTGGGGTCAGGGTGGGATCCGAAGGAGGGTGTCAGTGGGGGATAAAGAGAAACATCTGTAACAAAAACAAATTAATTAAGAAAATAAAATCAATGAGAAATGTGTTGATTAAATGCTTTACAAGTAAGAATAAGGGTCACTTTGTAAAATGTTCTAGGTGAATTAAACTTAATATTAACTTTTTAGGATTAAATTGAAATGACTCAACGGTCTTAGATTCTTTAATCTGCACATTAAACTATCCTTACTGGAAAACTGTGTGTATTTGCTACCTAAACAAATAAAGATAAGCTGACAGACATTGTATTAAAATGCAGAGCTTTACAAAAAAAGAACACACACACAAAAACCTCCTTTGATTGTATCTAATAATTGTTTTATATCATTCAAGGCTGATTTTAGATTTTAAAAGTTGGCTACAATCATATGTTTTTTTAAAATATTCCTTTACTGAGTAACTGTGATGATTTTTTTTGCAATAATAATTTGCATGTATAGTCTGACATGATGGACAGGGATGGCATGTTAAACATCTGGACATATTACGTCTGACTATACATTTATACCTTTCATGTAACAACGTACATCTCAGTACACAAAGTACAAAGGTATAGATGCTCTAGAAGGGAACTGGAGACTTGAGAGCAGTTGATTAAATCAGTTTGTGCTGAGAGCCCCACTTTCCCTGTACGTTTCCTGGGCTGTGAGCAATGCTGAGGCAACGTGCCTGGAAGTATGTGGCAAACTCAAGGGCATTTGGTGAGTAAAAGCTGATTTACTCCAATGAAACTCCTCTGTCCATTTCCACAAGAGGAGACTAGTATGGAGGTACTGACAGAAGAGAGGGTATTTTTCATGTTAATCTCTCTCACAAAGTACTAAGCCATTGGAACTATACCCTCGGAGGGTGTTGCCTAGAGTACTAGCTTTGCATATCCAGGACAGAGACATGAAGATAACTGGGATGACTGCATCAGAACCCAAAACCATTGTCCCACTATAGTGACAGATTCTCACCGTGGCATGTGGCCCCAAATGGAAATGCCTGTCTCTGGGCTGCTTATGTCTGTTTCTGAATGTGTGACTGTGTACACATGTGCTGTTCCTAGAAATGGAATAGACGTACATGAAAATATATTCCAGGAAGTAATTAAGTGGCATGTTGGGTGTTTGATCAGATTCGGGGAAAGATTGTACCTTCTTCCTCTCATCTGTATAAATTTAAATGTTTCTCAGGGTGTGGATCGGTCTTATGGTTGTCATAATCTTAGTATGGGGGTAAAGGTTTCGTGGTTCAGCTGAGAAACATTTTTCAGGTTCATATTTCATATTTCAGTAAAGTGAAATGGGTAAATCTATTTTTTTTTTCTATTGACACAAAATGGGATTACTTGGAGTCCTTGTGAAAAGATAATATATGATCAGCCTTCTGGACAACCCAGCTGGTATGTCATCAAAAAAAATGTGAGAAACATCAATTGGCTAGTCTTTCATCTGTCCATTTCTTAGACTCGTTCCCCCAAAAAGTAACTCTTTAATTTAAGGATTTGGCATATTACAAAGCAATGCTTTACCTGGAGTTAATACCTGTTGGAAATCAAAAAAGAGTGTATTTCTAGGACGGTAGAAACAGGGTTTCTATAGGCAATTCAGTGCTAATTCTTCTTTTATTACCTTATTTTTATCCCTCATATCAGATTTCTTTTATGCAATCTATTCTGCAAGCAAAAACCAAAATTGAGGACAACTATTTATAAAATGAAAATATATTTAGGATACTTTGGCGGGTTATTTTTTTAATAATATATTTCTCCTCTGAACTATTTAAGATATGAGCCAGAGGATTGGAAACATGATAAATCCTACTTGATTAAAATCTGAATTTAGGGCTTTGCTTTTAGAGGAAACACTGCCCAACTGGAAAGTATTAATAATGAATTTGATATATAGGCTTGGTACCTAATAATTACAATGATTCCAGTCTTTTTAAAAGTGTGTATTGTCTACTTGGTACCACATTATATCATTGATCTTCAGAACAAGTCAGTGCTTTTTATTATCTTCGTCCTATGTAGTTAAGAAGCTAAGGTTTATATATTTTTTTAAATTGTCACCTGAGGGCATGCTTAGAGAGAAGAAGGAAGGGAGAGAAAGAGAAAAATATTACTGTGAGGGAGAAACATTGATCGGTTGCCTTCTGTAGGTGCCATGACTGGATCAAACCTGCATCCCAGGTATGTGCCCTGACCAGGAATCGAACCAGCGGCCTTTCGGTACCCAGAACAACACTCAACCAGCTGAGCCACTCTGGCCGGGCAAGGCTGAGACATTGTAAAGTAGTTAGTCCAAGTGGGTACTGCTAGTAAGCGGTGAAATGGGGATTACATAAAGGCCAACTGATGGAGAGTCCCTATTCTTAACCACTCAATTATATTGTCCACCAGAATCTGTAATTTCACACCGGCTGCGTGGGGAAGTGTGCAGATTGGCCCGTGTGTGAGGATGGTGGCGTGGAATCGCTGAGTCGTTGACACTTTGTTTTTCTGCCTGTAGGCCCGTGGGGCAGGTGTGCCGGAGACTGCGGAGCTGGAGGAGTCCAGACGCGTGCGCTGTGGTGCTTCCACTTCGACGGCTGGACAAGTCACCTCTCTAACTGTGATGAGAGCAGCAGGCCTCCAAAGGAAAGAAGCTGTTTCCGAGTCTGTGACTGGCACCGCGACCTCTTCCACTGGGAGGTTTCCGACTGGCACCACTGCGCGCTTGCTCCGGCCACCCCGGGCCACGCGGGGCCGCGGACTGCGGAGTGCGTGACGGCGCAGCACGGGCTGCAGCACCGCACTGGGCGCTGTGTTCAGAGGTGGAACGGAACCGTGGTTGCGAATGAAATATGTGAACACTTTGCCCCCCAGCCCCCCACGGAACAAGCTTGCCTGATTCCTTGTCCCCGGGATTGTGTTGTATCTGAGTTCTCACAGTGGTCCACGTGTAGCAAGGGCTGTGGGAAGCAGCTGCAGCACAGAACTCGCGTGGCCATTGCGCCCCCTCTCTATGGAGGTTCTCAGTGTCCCAATCTGACTGAGTCAAGAATCTGTGACGCCCCCATTTCCTGTCCACTCGGGGAAGAGGAATATACTTTTAGCCTTAAAGTTGGACCGTGGAGTAAATGTAGACTGCCTCATCTTAAAGAAGTTAACCTAAACGGAAGACCTGTTCTGGATTTGAGCTCTGATTCCAAGGAGCGCGTCACCTCCAGGCATCAGAGTTACAAGCCACATCACCATGCCAAGCCCTGGGACATAGAGATCGGCTATCAAACCCGGCAGGTTTGGTGTACAAGAAGTGATGGGAAAAATGCGATGTTAAGGTAGGAGGCCTTCAGTATTTATATCTTTGATTCACCTAAATATCGTACAGTATAATTTTATAAGGTTTCTTTATGATTTTCTACAAAAGGAAAATTTTAATCAGGTTTTGGGTTTGGGTTTTTAGAAGTTTTATTTGAGAAGTCTTCAATTTCAGTTATGAAAATTTCAGAGTGTAGACCAGGCAATGCTCTAAATTCTTGCATAATTGCTAGTGCAAATTTATTGGATGTCTATATTTACACATTTTATCAAATATCAATCAGTTAAAACAAAAATCTTTTGTTACTATAGTAATAAAAGATATAAATATTCATGCTCACTCTCAAATTTGTGATATAAATTATTTATATTATCATTTTTCATAATGTTTATGTTTCTTAAACTTATTTTGTTTTTGCTTGTTAAGTTTTGTTTTCATGATTAAGAAGTGTTTTTATGTTTGATATACATTTATTTTTATAGTAGTAACAATACCGATGTTAATCCAAGACTGCTTTCTTTAGCATTGATTTGATAAAAATGTTAACAGCAAAGAATTAGAATTACAATCTATAGTAGGAATGAAGTAAAACTTTTTAAAGCAATAGTTTAGGTTTCAAGATTTTGGTAATCTTTGTATTTTAAATTGTAGGATAAAATATCATGGCATAAGCCCAGAGAACTATGTTGAAAGTAATATATTTGTTTAATTTTCCCCCAGAAAGTCTTAAATGGAAGCACTGGTATATTGCCAAGTTTGTTCCAAATTAAGATGCCTTTCAATAGCATTTAAATTACTAAACAATGAAACACTCATCTTTAGAATTAATCATTATCATCAGTTACTGTTTTCTGGGGACCCGCAGCTGGCTACCTCTGCTGTTCAAGAACAAAATAATGTGGTGATTTCTTTTTTCATATGACTCCACAAATGAACATATTTTATCTTTGATGTTTCATTCTGATTTATACAATTGGCAAGTCCATTGAAAAGTGATTTTCTGCCTTTTATTGCCTGACTCTGTGAATCCCAAAAGATTAAGAAGATGGTTTGTGTTATTATTATTTGACCATGTGGGTGGAATTTTGTAAAAACATTGTTTCCTTAATATTCTACATTAGATTATTACATAGAATAGTTTCATTTTTAGTTTGTATGTTTTTACCAAGTTCTTTTTAAAAATATTAAGAGACTTTATTTTTAAAGCAGTTTTATATTTACAGTAAAATTTAGTGGAAAATACAGTGTTCTCATGTATCTTCTTATTACTCCCCCTCCACACATATCTTGTATTAATGTAGTATATTTGTTATAAAAATGAGCCAATATCAATAAATTACTATTGACCATAGTACATTGGAGTTCAGTTTGTATTATACATTATATGGGTGTGTTCCAATATATAATGATGTGTATCCGTCATTGCTGTATCATACAGAATAGTTTCACTGCCCTAAAAATGAGTATTCTGTCTATTAATCTCACTCTTCTCCCTGAATCCCTGCTAACTCTTGATTTTTAACTATCTCCATAGTTTTGCCTTTTTCCAGAATGTCGTAGAATTGGGCTAATGCAATGTATGGCCTTTGCTGTTTAGCTTTGTTCACTTAGCAGTATACATGTAAGGATCCTCCATGTCTGTTCACGGATGCACCACAGTTTATTTACCCATTCACCTACCGAAGGACATATTTGTTGCTTCCAGCTTTCAGCAATTATGTATAAAGCCGCTATAAACATTCATGTGAGATTTTTATGTGGACATGTGTTTTCAATGCATGTTGGTAAATACTGATGAGAACAATTCATGAATATTATAATAAGAGTGTATTTTGTTTGTAAGAAATTGCCAAAAGGTCTTTCAAAGTGGCTGTATAATTTTTCATCTCCAGTACCAATGAATGAGAATTCCAACTGCTTTGCATAGTGGCCAGATTTGATGTTCTCATTGCTTTGGGTTTTAGCCATTTTAATAGATGCATAATGGTATCTGTTTAATTTGCAATTCCTTAATGATGTATGATGTCCAGCACCTTTTCATATGTTTATTTTCCATCTGTATATCTTCCACGGTCAGGTGTCTGTTTAGATCTCTAGCCTATTTATTGAGTTGTAGGTTTTTTTTCCCTTATTGTTGCGTTTAAGAGGTCGTGTATGTGTGTGTGTGTGTGTGTGTGTGTGTGTATTTATTTTTTGACTCCTCACCCAAGGATATTTTTCTGTTTATCTTCAGTTAGAGTGGGAGGGAGGGAGGGAGGGGGGGGAGAGAGAGAGAGAGAGAGAGAGAGAGAGAGAGAGAGAGAGAGAGAAACATTGACATGAGAGAGACACATCAACTGGCTGTCTCCCTCACGACCCCAAACAGGGCTGGGAACGAACTGCAACTGAGGTCCCTGCCCTTGACCGAAATCGAACCCACAACTGAACTCAGCAGTCCATGGGCCAATGCTCTCCCACTGAGCCAAACTGCCCAGGGCTTTTTTGTATATTTTGAATACCAGTCCTTTATTAGATATATGTTTTTTTTTTAATATTTTTTTGTGTTTTTTTTTTTAGAGAGAGAGAGAGAGGAAGGGAGATAGTGATAGAAACATTGATGTGAGAAAGAGACTTCGATTGACTGCCTCCTGCACACCCCCTACTGGGGATCGAGCCCTCAACCTGGGCATGTGCCCTGACTGGGAATCAAACCCAGACCTCTTAGTCCATGGGATGGATGACACTCAATCCACTGAGCCACACCAGCCGGCCTAGATATGTGTTCTAAAATTATCTTCCAGTTTGTGATCTTTTTATTCTCATAACAATGTCTTTCACAAAGAAGTTTTTTTTTGTTTGTTTGTTTTGTTTTGTTTATATTTTACCTTACTGAAGTCAAATGTATCATTATTTCTGTCATGGATCATTCTTTGGTATTAAACCTAAAAAACAAGAAAAAAAATCACCAAACCCAAGGTCAACTATATTTTATCTGATGTCATCTTCTAGAGGTTTTATAGTTTGAAATTTTACATTTAGGTTTATGATCTATTTTGAGTGAATTTTTGTGAAAGGTGTAAGGTCTGTGTCTGTGTCTTGATTTTTTGGTTGTTCTATCACCATTTGTTAAAAAGACTATTCTTTCTCCACTGACTTGCCTTGTTCCTTTGTCAAAGATCATTTGAGTCTCTTTGTGTGGATGTATTTCAGTGGATTGCATTTATCCATTTATATATCCCTTGCCAGTTACAAACTGTCTTCAGTACTAAGGCTTTGTCATAAGTCCTAAAGTTGGGTAGTCAGTTCTCTAAATTATTTTTTAGCATTGTGTTGACTGTTCTGGGTCTTTTTTCTTTTCATATAAACTTTTGAAGTACTTTGTCCATATCTGCAAAATAATTATCTTGTATAAATCAATTTGGGAAGAACTAACATCTTGATAATATTTAATCTTTCTATTTATGTACATGGACTATCCATTTATTTAAATTTTTCTTTGATTTTTTTCATCAGAGTTTTGTACTTTTTCTCATATAGATCTTGTACATATTTTGTATATTGTTACTTGAGTATTTCACATTTTTTGGTGCTAATATAATTGTATTGTGTTTTTAATTTTAAATTCTGTATTTTCCATTGCTGGTATACCTGATAGCATTTGACTTAGGCATATTAATTGTGTATTCTGCAAGTTTGTTATAGTTGCTTATTTGTTTTAGGAGACTTTTGTTGTTGTTGTTGTTATTGATTCTTTGGGATTATCTGTGTAGACAACTATATCGTTTGCAAACAAAGACAGTTTTCATTCCTTTCTTTTCAATCTGTATACCTTTTATTTCCTTTTCTTGTTCTATTGCATCATCTAGTATTTATGATATAAATAGAAGTAGTGAGAAGGGACATCTGTGCTTTGTTCCTCATCTTAGCAGAAAAGCATCTGGCTTCCCATAATTAAATATAATGTTATCTGCAGGGATTTCATACATGTTCTTTATCCAGTTGAAGAAGTCACCCTCTATTCCTAGTTTGCTGATAATTTTTATCATGCATAGGTATTAGTTTTTGTCAAGTGCTTTTTTTTTCATGTATGCATAGGACTATATGACTTTTCTTTTAAAGCCTGTTGATATGATTGCATTAATTGATTTTTTTGAATGTTGAACAAGTTTTGCATACCTCAAGTAAATCACACATGCTTTAGATGTATTATATTTTTACATATTGTTGGATATTTACTAATATTTTGTTGATAATATTTTTTTTTAATTTTTTTCTTTTTTAATCCTCACCTGAGGGTATTTTCCCATTTTTTGTACAGATAGAATGGGAGGGAGAGAGAGGAAGGGAGAGAGAGAGAGAAACATCGATGTGAAGGGACACATCGAGTGGCTGCCACCCGCACGACCAACCAGGGCCGGGGACAAACTGCAACCGAAGTACATGCCCTTAGCGGGAACCGAACCCGGGTCTCTCCGGACCGCAGGCCGACACTCTGACCGCTGAGCCAAACTGGCCAGGGCTTGTTGATAATATTTTGCATACAAGTTCATGAGAGAGATCAGTCTTAATTTTTCTTTCTTGTAATGTCTTTGTTCTGGTTTGGTATTGAAATATGGCTGGCTTCATTGAATGAATTGAACATATGTCCTCTACTTTGATTTTCTGAAATAGATTACAGAGAATATAGATAGATAGATAGATAGATAGATAGATAGATAGATAGATAGATAGATAGATAGTCTGGCCAGTGTGGCTCAGTGGTTGAGCATCAGTCCATGTACCGAGAGGTCACTGGTTAGATTGCTGGTCAGGACACAAGCCCAGGTTGTGGGCCAGATCCCCATGGGGGGCATGCAGGAGGTGGCCAATCAATGTTCTTTCTCATCATGATGTTTCCATCTCTCTCTCCCTCTCACTTCCTCTTCCTCTAAAATCAATAAAGGAAAAAAAATATATATATATAAAATTTCTTCCTTGAATGTTTGGTGGAATTTAACACTGAACCCATCTGATCCTGGTGCTTTATGTTTTGACAGGTTA